GGGGGGAGGGGGGGTTGAGCTTTTGTGCTGGGAAAAGGTCCACTAGGTAAAATCTGATCTAAGTACATATAGGTTTCATGGTAAAAGGCCCATGTCTTCAGTAAAAGACCCCCCCTCTGAAATTGGTGGCTACAGGCCTGGTTTGATTTGTGTCATTTGACCATCTTACCACACTGACCCACTGTTTGTTTCTAGTCACCCCTACACCTCTCCAAGGAAGAGTAGGAATGCCAGGTATAAATGCCTACTGGTTGTCAGTCACATTTATGTTTAACCTTAATCATTTTATTAATTTATAACTTTCTCATTCGTCTGCTTGAGACCACTGTGCTTACTACTTGAGTCTAGAAAAATTGGGAAAATGTTTGACTAGAATCTGTGCAAGGTACATTTTGTCATTTTTTACAGAAAAAAATAAATAAAAATGACATATGGAAAAGCTACGAAAAATGCTCCAGGAAACATTGGGCTGAAATTAAATTTCTGAACTTCAGACTAGGATAAGTAAAATTTTCTGAGTACATATAGTAAGCACAGATTTGGGCTCTGGGATGCCATGCGGCCTTTTGTTAATTATATTGCCAAGGCTAGATGTGCTTCAGCTCGCGCCAGATGTAACTTACCTAATAAACCTGCCAGCATGGAGCTACAGATATCCCAATAAGAGCTAGAGGTGCATCTGGTGTTTGTGTCTGGCTTTTGAATTTATATTCATTTCTTATCATTCATATCAGTTTTTATAAGATCCATAACCTGATGTGAAATTTTAATCTGATGAAAAATATTTTAACTTTTATTAATCTCAGACTACTACTAATAATAATGTTTTAACCAACTTTTTTGGGAGAATAAAGACAAGGAAAAGCTATACAAATTTTGGTTCTATTTGTGTATCTTTGAGTGCTTTGTCAACAAGTGTTCAATAATCTATATTATTCACATATAATTCACATTAACCATTTTTATAACTGTTTATATTTATATATGTTATATTTTAGTTATAATGCTTTCATTGTTTAAGCTTGGTGTTTAATCTTGTATATATACATATATGTTTGACCAAAACAGATGTTTTAGTATTTGCATTAGCATAACTCTTTACTAAGAAACTGGTACATTGAAATTATGTAGTCTGTATTTTAAACAATATGTTGTCAGATTCTTCTGAAATATATACTGACTCATGATAAAAAGTACATTTTTAAGATAATTGTGGTTTGCTGTCTTATAGATCAGCACCTGTAAACAAGCGGTGAGGATGTGAGAGGAGTGGTTGAACATCTCACTCAATTTTTATGTTGTTTTTATTGCAAAATATTGTATTTCCTCTTAATGTTCACTATTACTTTAATTTTTCACCCTTGCTGTTTTCATTTCTGTTTGGTGAACATTTTGTGTGCAGTTATATGAATTATAAATCATTGTTTGGCATGGTGCAAACTTTTTGCACTGATTTGGTGAACTGTTGTGTAAGAATAACATTTTTTCTGTTGGGGTCACTCTATACCTGGAGTTATCTTGGATGCTTAGATTTTTGTGATATATCCTGTAAACTTGAACATCAATATATTAAACCGATGAGGCCACTTGATTCAGTATGAAGTATTCTAATTCAGTTATGTCCCCCAGTCAGTGTATTATGGACTTTCATTTAATCCCTACTTAATACTGTATCCATATTTTTACCTCGGCTGATTTCTCTCAAAACAAATGTGTTTACTTGCATTTAGTATTAAACACCTGTTCTGGTCTTGAGGCACTGGGGCCATTGAGCTGATTGATTTCCTTTCAATGAGCTCTTCTATGATTTCTCACATGAATAATCACCGATAGTGAAAACTATTATTGTATTCTAAAGGTCTGCAAATAGTGATATTGGGCTGTGCATGGTTATTATAGAAGTTCTGGTCTGTAGTATTTAAACAGAACATCACGTTATGAAGGCAGACAAACAGCATGAGGAATTTGTGAAAATATTTGACATTGCTGCTCATTTGGTCTTATATTTGTTTTAGTCTTGAGGTCTTTGGCTATTGATTGACCTGAAACTCCTCTTTGTTATGTTCATGCACTTGAATTGAACTTCAGCTCTTTAATGTTATATATCTGTGTTGCTAAGCCAGATATTACAGTTCTACTGGTTTAAAAAATCAATAAAATCTTAACCTTAAGAAATGTTCTTACAAGGTTTGAAGTCAAACAGAAATTAATGCAATTTTAAAATTCCTCCTTAAAATTCATCATAATTCAGTTACACATACATATTACATTAAATTTCTTTTCTGTCATGTTTTTTATCATACAGACATTTAACTTATATTACACACACACTTGCTCGTACACACACACACACACGCACACACACACTCACACACACACAGTACTATCTGTATCATCCTCTATATTCTCTAAGGCATTATAACCTCCCCCTTTCCAGCTGGGTTAGCAGTATCTACAGTGGCTATGGAGGCAGACCCAGTACCTCTGATGGCAGATATTCTACACATGTTCCTTATAGAAACTCTCTACTCACTATGATGCTGAGAGACAGTCTGGGTAGGTTCTCGCTCTGTTACCACAACTACAAGTATAATTGTTGAAATATGTGTTTGCATGTGTGTGCGTTCATGTGTATGTTTTTTTATGTATTGCAATATATTTTAAAATACACTTCTCTGTTATTATATTTGGAAGTATGGATAGTTAAAATCTCCTTACCATTACAGTGTTGCAGATGCTTGTTAACAGTATTATTTTTATTATAATTATAAATAATAAGAATTGAAAAATACTGCTTGCATAACTGTGTACTTACTATTCAAAAGCGAAAGAAGCCATTAATGCAATTAATCGTACATTATTTAATGATTAGTTCAAATAGATCAAATGTATTCTACCTTCTATCCCAGGTGGTAACTGTCTAACTGTGATGATAGCTACACTGTCTATGGAGGAAGAGAACCTGGGCGAGACCATCTCTACCTGTAGATTTGCTCAGAGGGTGGCTTGTATTGCCAATAATGCTAAGTAAGTATATTTATTTGTTTTAATAAACAATTAATATAAGCACTTAGTTGGCTGTAATTAAATATTTGTATTAACATTTTTTAAATTTGAAAATGTACATTTGGTTTTGTATGCACTGAGTTTGCAAGGAGTCTGTTTGAGTAAGGTGTGCATATTGTATAAGTTTGAACCATGAGACATTGTAATACTTTACCTTTTTTCTAGGAAAAATGAAGAGATAGATGACAAATCCATGATCCAAAGATTAAGGAAAAGAATAGCAGAACTTGAAGCAGAGGTAGCAAACTTAAAGGCCTTACAGGTAAGTTGATATAAAAAAAATTATATCATTATCGATTCAATTAGTAAATAGTTGATGGTGAAAAATGTTATAATGGGATTAACTGTCTAGAAGATTTAAGACTCCGTTCACATGAAAAGTCTATTTTCTAAAAATCTATTTTCTATTTGCGGTATCTTATGATCACTCCGAGCGCAGCCGAGAATTAATTACAGCTTTGGAAGTAACTGGCTCGTGCTGCCAGAAATTATGCCGTGTGGTATTCAGGGCACAGACCGTGATCACAAGATACCGCGAATAGAAAAAAGATTTTTAGAAAATAGACTTGTCATGTGAACGGAGCCTAAGTCTTGTTTTTGTGACTACTGTTTTGATGGATACTTTCTGATTTACTACCACATCTTTCAAATCAGTGGTTTTATTAGTCAGAGGCATTTGTTGGTGAAAAGCTTTATCAGTTTATGCTAACTTTTCCAGTCGAGGATTAGACTGGATAATCCTTTTATCTTTTTATTACATTGATACTGCAATGCCAATTGCTTTTAAATCCATAACCGTTTTGTGATGATTATGTTGGATGCCCTCGGTGAGCATACTAGTAATAATGTTGAAGCTATAAATATAGTTTGTTATTCTTTGCGAGAGTGGGGTCGCTTAATAATTTATGATATACTAGTGCTGGGGTTGAAGCATAATACTTCAGCAAATTTAATGTGTATACACTGATAAACACAGAACTCACAAAACTGCAGTTATTTCTCAGCACATTTATCATGACAAAGTGGAGGTATAGCTTAAAGCTGATTTTCAAAATAACTGTTGTTCCATGTTGTTGTTCTGTTTAGTACCAGAGCATGGACGGTGAGACGCTGGCTGCCATGATGGAGAAACTGACAGACGAAGACAAGATTACCTGTAGTCGGCTGATGCAGCAGTACATAGTGGGGAAAGTGAAGGACCCTGTCACTGCAGGTATGGATAATATCACTTTTTATGTACAGACACATCTTGTATGTACATATTGCCATCATCTGCATCTATCCTTGTCTCCATGCACTTTCAGTTAATTGTTATATTTACTGTTAGGATTACATTTAACAGCTAGGTGGTGTAAATTTTATAATTTATTAGGAATGCTATAGGTACTTGACATGAAATTGCCATCTTTATACACTAGAAGTTATGTATGTAATGATCTTTAAAGCCAATTTCCATAGATATCAGCTTAGATTAAAAAATTGCATTAAAGTTTTCTGTACTTTGTTTGGGTATTATAACATAACTTATATACATCACAAATAGGTGTCACAGATCCCTTCAAGTTCCGGGAATGTCTGCGCATCCTTAAGGAGATGATCATGAAGAAATATGCTGGTGGTCAGAATAATGGGACCGGGGTCAGCCTGTCAGAGGCGGTGAAGAGTCGGCCCATCTCCAACACCTCAGGGATCAGTACAGCGACCAGTGGGTTTGACGAGACTATGCCAGGACAGGCAGAGAAGGAGCCAAGGTACAGGAATTATAGATACATAAAGGAGTGTATGAATAAATATGTGAATAGAACTTCTATGTTTGTTGACAAATATCTTTGGAGGTGAATAGGCAAAACATCTTTTTGCAGAGGGATTGGCTTATGATTAATATAACTTCTGTGCTTTTAAGACATAATTTAAGTATATGAGGTTTGCTGGTTTGATTTTAAGTTTCTACTAGTTTACTTGTTTTGTCTTCTCTGGCATCCGGCCTTGGACTATGATCATGATCAGTAAAGGTTAAGCTATATGCTTGTGAAGTGGCATCATTGTGACAATTTATTTTGCTTTATATTTTACTTAATGCTTTTAATATTACACTGTAAAAAAACAAAGTGTTTGTAACTTCTGTGTATTTGCAGCAATAATTTCATGCCTCAATAATTTCATTTGCCACATGTCATATCATTTAATTTCAGAGAAGATTATGCTGATTTGAGACACTAAGTTTCTAAGAATGTATTTTGTTTATTTTTTCTCTATTACAGCAACAAGATTAGATTTGCTGGGTTAGTGCAGATTGGAGAAGGCTCCTCACAGATTGCCTACTTACTCTTTTACTGTTTTACCTAGCACATCTGAGGTCATCCTAGATAGCATCCCTAAATATCTTTCTAAATCATAAAATAGATTCCAATGGTATCCCAAATATTGACTGATAGTTATCTGTCAGCTTATTTTATATCTTAAGAAAAAAAGATCTCATTCCCTGAGTTACCTTGTTGATTCAAGGTCATCTAAAGCTGTCAACCTCTGCCTCTACTCAGAGTAATTGTGTTTAGAATGTTAGTCCCCAGGCTCTTTTAGATTAAACTTCAAAATAGAGTGTTTCATATAATTCTATCACCTCTAGTAATTTCCCCAGGATATGCCTCAAATGTGTTATAATACTTGCTTTCAGCCAACCAATATAATGCTTCTCACTTCCTGCTTGACAGTGTAGCAGCTTCACATTTTTATGAGCTTCACATGTAATGCTTGCATTTCTAATTGTGAATTTTTATCCACCTTCTCTCAAAAGCATATTATATGATTTCATTATTAACAGAATAAGAATATATTACTTGCAGTGTCACTTAATCACAGTCACAATCAGTTTGGCCTTCGTGTTTTGTGACAAGGATTTGATATTGAACATTATAACTTTTGACACTTAAAGAACATGTGATTTTTTAAAAGAGAAAAAATATATCGGAAAAATCCAGTCCCTATTGCAGATTTGCAAACTACTAATATTTGAATCATTTGTTTTGAAAATACCTTACAAGATTGGCAATTGATATCATATTGCACTGCTGTTGACTGAAAGACGTATGGCATTGAAAAACTTTACTCCAATATTTTGACTGTTTTTTCACTCTCACTATCTTTGAGCACAGCATTTTCAGTGTATGCACAGTGTTATGATCCCATAAGATATCTGATTTGGTACAAATCACCTTGTATGATGTCTTGTTCATAATGTTATGATCATGACTTAATTTCTTCTCATCACGTTTTGTGATGCCACCTTATTCTCTCATAGTATATTAGGAGGTCTTAATATTCAAATTAGGTCTGATTTTCAAAGCTTGATAGTATAGTGCTTTTCCATCTGGTAGGTTGATACATTGTAAGACATGCTTCTGCATATTCAAATTAACAGTTTATACCATCAAATACTGTAAAAAGATATGAAATTGAAAAATTCCTGCTAGAATTTTTAAATAGAAGTTATAGATTTCAGACACCAGGTGATGGGCATGTTATTAATATCTTTGTAATGGAGAGTAGCCATGCTTGGAGGTACAAAACTTAGACGTCAGTGCTTTTAAAAATTGTATGCTGTAGTGCTAAGTATCAGTAGGCAATGAAACAGAATAAATTATTTCTTGAAACTGTACTTGGAACTGGCTCCGAGTATTCCAGACATGGAACAAACTCTGCCACAGTTTTGTTCTACATCTTCATTCCTTATATTGACTCTGTTGTGTAATTATCTCATATTTAACAGGCCGTTCAGCAGCCCAGCCGTGTCCAAGATTCAGCGGGCAGTATCTGATGACCAGCTGGCAAGACCAGCCACAGCCTATGAGAGGCCAACAGACATGGACTATATAGATATCTACAGGGACCCTGTGATGAACAACTTGGGTAATTATGTGATTGTATTTGTATTGAAGCTACTTTAGTGATGTATAATATCAAATTCCAACTTAAGATTCCTAGATCAAATTTTGCTTTTTCAATTAAAATTGTTGGAATGATATCCAGTCTTTTTGGTCTCACTCGGGGCTGCTCACCAAAATATATATTCTGATTCTTAAAAAAATTCTGCTTAACACTTACATGTCATGAATATTTTCAAGCAAAGTTGGAATCAAGTGATAATCTCCTGTTTCTTTCCCAGTCAAGCCCACTCCCTCGGCATCCTCTCCCAGGAACTCAGACACCATAGACAGCAAACCTAGGAAAACACCAGAGCCATACAAGTCTCCATTTGAAAGAAAGAAAGAGAAAGAGATTAAAAAACTGAACAAGAAAGTTGAGAAGACATTTGAGGACCAGCTGGAGCAGCAGCACCACTTGATAGAATTCCAGGCCTCCATCAAAGAGCAGCAGTTAGAACTGATTGAGAAGGAGTTAAGGTATGTATAACATTTGAAGCATGTCTATGACATCTGTTGGTGTTGATTTGGCTGTGAATGCAGTAGTTGTGAATGTGCTCTGAATACTGTGTTGAGATCTGATCATCAAATATGGCATCTACTGCAATGATATATGCTTGTAAATTTTAGTTGTTTAAGAGGATTGTTATAATAAATCAAATTCCATTGACTACAAGTACCAGAAACAACTAGAAATTTAAAGTTTGTAAATTTATAGTTTTCATATATTTATTTTTTAAACTTTATTCATTAATGTTTAAGCAAAGTATTTTGTGATAGGAATGGCAGGCCCGTAACTAGCAATTTCAAACTTTTCCCAGCAAAAAGGGCAGTTTGTTTAAACACCCCTGAATCCCCCTCCAGCTGCGGGCCTGAATAGTTTGAGATTTACCCACATCGTCTATTATTCTGTTATTTCTATCAGCAATAAACTGGAGGCCACCAGAACTCAGGTGACAAACCAGCAATCTTACCTCATCCAGCTGAAACAAAGCCGTGCAGACCCAGAGCTACTGGCTCAGGAGAAACTTGTGGAAAGACAACTCAGGAAAAGAGAGGTACGTGCTTGTATGAATTCTACAATAAATAATATGATTATTTCGTTTGATGTTGTAAGATATTTTTGGCGGAGACTTTGTTGTCATTACAAACATAATTGAAATCTTTGGGTAATAATTTGTGACTATGCTTCAGAATATTTAATTTGTTAATTTCATTTATTTGATTTAAAGGCAAAGTTAGACAGCAGACTGAAAATAATCAGGCAGCAGAAGTCAGAAATCCAAGAGGCGTACAAGTCCCAGAAAGAGGCTCTTCACAATTCTGCAAGGACAGAAAGCCCTCGTAGAGTCGGCAGCAGTTTGGAGGAAAAGTTTCAGCAGTATGTGAAAAGAGATGGCAAGCTCAACTCCAGACAAGTTTTGGATATGCTGTCTCAACAGGATAAAGATCAGGAAAAGGTATGATAAGAACAGAACCTTGATGAAAATCGAGATCTAAAGAATTTACATGTTCCAAAATAATTGATTTTTAGAATTAAAATGCATTCATATTGTAACCTTTGCCAGACAACAGTTTTTCTGTGTATTGTAAAGGAAGTAAAATACAGTTTTCTTTCTTATGCTTACAATTTCTTTAATTGATTTTTAGAATTGAAGTGCATTCATATATTCATATATTCAATTTCTTTTATTATTTCAGCTGCAATCAAAGATTGAGAAGAGCCGTGTTCTTTCTTTGAGCAAGCAGCTAGAAATAAAGGAAGTTTCCACAAGACAGAAACTGCAGGAATTTAAAGAAAGATTAAAACAAGCCAAGCTGGGCAATTACAGCTTTGACAGTTCTGATAGCATAAGCTCTCCAGACAAGACCGGCCAAAGTGTGGACACTAACTCATTTCTAGGGTCTGTGAATGACCGTCCGACCACCAATATGTCTTCCTATTCAGATAGTCAAGATACCTCAGTGTCTTACCAGGAAAGCAGAGATTCCTCCACCCCAACGGTGCTGAAACCAAAGATGAGGTACGCTTTTGGAGAGTTATTGCCTCCAACTCCTGAGGTGCCAGAACATGAATCTCCACGGCAACGTGAATTTAGTCCAATCAGCAGTCATCCAGCAGTACCAAAGATTAATATTTTAGACCTTGAAAATGATGCATCTATGAGTGAAAGTATAAATGACAGACATAAGCCTAATCATATGAGAGATGGTTCAGTATCCCCACGAGATGTTCAGAAGACTCCGAGAAATCCCAGGAAAAATATATTTATTTTAAACCCTGAGAGGTCACCAGAGAGACACAACAAAAGTGGAGGAAAGTCGACTGATAAGTGGGAGTCTGCTTATAGGTATAAATCTCCAGAAAGAAGTATGAACTTTGATAATATGTCTGGCATACAAGGCAGGGCGACGTTTCAGTTTTCTGACTTTGATTCCATTGCATCCTCAACTGATCCACTAGCTCAGTACTCAGGCCAGTTCATCACATCCTCACCATTCCAGAAAACTGCATCCCATCCAAGTAACAGTAGTGCCAAATATCAGAATAATCATCACAAATCTCCATCAAATGATAATACTTACACTCACCAGCAGAGATCCAGGGACCAAGATTCAGTAATCACAAACACTTCCAAGGAGAGTAGCAGGTCTGGTAGAAGTCCAGAGAGGAATGGTAAGAAATACCGTACCCAGTATTACAAAGCTCTCCGCAAGGCACAGAAGCATGGCAAGAGGGCTAATTTCAGTAAATTTGATTTAGACAGATTAGACATGGGGAGTAGTTCCTCTAAGAGATCTCAGGCTGAGGACTATGACAGATCATTTGAGAAATACACCCCCAGTGAGTATGTGCAGAATACAAATACTAGTTTTGATGCCAGAAAGATGGGACTGTCCTCTAAAAGTTTTGACTCGACTTTGGCATCCATGCTTGGAAAAGAGGCGTTGAATGCGCAATATACTAGTGACATCTATAATCAGTTTGCCAATACGAACTCTCCCAGAGGGCAACACCAATCTCGATCACCAGAACGGAGAAGGGACAAGGTGAATTCTCAAAGTAAAAGTCCGGCACGATCTCGGGGTCGCTCAAGAAATGAATCTCCAGATAGTAGAGACAGAAAAAGCGTATCTCCCACCAAAAGCCGTGCTCAAAATTCCAGAAGCAGTAATTCCCCAAGCAGATCTTCTGGATGGAGTAGAAGCAAAGATGCGTCGCCAAGTAGAAACAACAATAACAAGACAGCCTCTGGTAAAGAAAGAGGCAGAAAGAATGACAGAAATAAAGAGAGAAGGGAGACGTCGCCCAGTAGAAACTCCTGGGGGCCAGAGGCTAAGGTGAGCGCCACCTATCTGTATACAAATTATTAGAATATGGGTATAGCTTTACTTATGCTGGTTAAAATCTTTTCTTTTATTTTGAAGATAATTTTTCAAATCTGAAAGCATTTTTAACTTATTAAGTTATTATAAATGCCTCTTTCTATTTTGCAGAACAAGTCCATTTCAGAGAGCTTAGAAAAATTTTTGACAGAATTGCCACCATCTACATCTAAATTGAGACACTCAGGTATGTGTGAACTTGTGTTTAAATACAGAATGATGAAAGTGTGACTTTTATGCACTTACATAGTACAAATATAGGTCATGCCATGAAAGTGTTCATTCATCTGTGGAAAAACTAGGAATGAGATCATCTGTTTAGTACACATAGGTCAGTACATGAAGTACTTTTCACATGAGTTACAGGGTTCAAAATCTCATTTATTTTTTTGAAACTGTTTATTACAGAAACCTTTTCTTCTAAATATCCTTTCATGTCAGTGCAAAAGGTTTTATATGGAATTTTTTTCAACTGAAGCTGATCTCACCCATATAAATAGGCTTGGACTAAATGTGTATTGAGTAAACAGCCATTCCCCTTTCAAAGTGAACAACGTGACCCAGAACTTCAGTCACACTGTGATCTTTTAGTCTTGGCAGTCTGCCAGTAGAACCTTGTTCCCTGGTTTCACTAATATTGAGGAATGAGGGCTGGTTGTTATGAAATGATGATATCAGTGCAGTTATTGGTAAACATTTAATACCGTAAATAAACAAAGATGCAGAATAAACAAGAGACAAAATCTGTAGAGAAATTAAAGAATGGCCATTTCTCCTGTGATGTTAACATATTTTAGAATTTTACCCCCAGTTGAATTGTTTTGAAATCCACAAACATATATCTGTAAAATTTCACTTTAACAAAATTTGCTCCAGCTATATATTGCTCCAGCTATATATTGTAAATTGCATATTACAAGACTATTATCCAACACACCACACTGTCAGCCACACTGAAATCTGAGTTGGTCTGTGCGCCAGCGTGTGCACACATGTGCACACACACATGCACCCACACACACATAAACACACACACACACACATGCACCCACACACACACATGCACCCACACACACATAAACACACACACACACACACACACATGCACCCACACACACACATGCACCCACACACACACACACACACAGTGTAAGAGTTTGCTGCAGCATGGCACATGATACCTAAGTAAGTCTAAGCTAACGCCTCAAGCAATCAGTCACATGGATAGGACTACTGTGTACTACAATATTTAATGTCAGACCATGATTTATGTATTGGATATTATCTCTGACCTTTGCCATGTTTGTGGCCATGCTTGAGCTTGCATAAATCAACATTAAATGGAATTAAATTCAGACAGTCAACAGTGTGAGCCATGCAGTCATTGAAAGGTCACAGGACTTACTTTTCTACTTGGGAGCCTGCAATATTGCTATTGATTTAAATCTAAACTAGGATTTTGTGTTGGTACAGATTCATTGCTTTGAGACATCCAATGCTCTTGATCTTAAAGATAAATTTGTATTTAGGCATATTTTAAAGTTGAAAAGCTGCATAAACCTCCTTAATTGTGTAAACTAAGGAAACACGTATCAGATGTGAATTTGTAAAAGACCCCTGCTACATAAATTCAATTTCAACTGCCACCAATATTTCACGCTTCAAGATTAACCCAATTTGAACTATGATTAAATAAAAGATTTTAATTCGTTTTCTTTAAAATGTTGGAGTAAAATTGTTCATATTGAGATCTAGTTGAATATATAATTTAGAAAACCACCATATGATGACATTGGCTGCATGTGCTAATTTCTAGGGTTCTTGGCACTTGTTCAACTGGTGCTGTATGGATTATACAGCAATGCTGCTTTAAATTATAGATCTATACCTCCATTAGAGCAAGCTAGTGAAGATAATGAAATTTATTTTTGATAGAGCTCAGCTATAATTTATACGCAAGGGTATGTGTTAGTGCAAATCTTGATAGCTTTTACCAAAGTCGAGTGCTATTTTTTGTGTCATTAGCATAGTACTTTGATCCATGTTACCTCTCTGCAAAAGTATAGCTCAGCTAGTTTGAAGATTAGGAAACCTACGACATTTTCACTGGATGTTGTGCTTGTGGATCATTTTGGATCCGTAACTGAAAAATCCAAATAAGGAAGATCAATTTACAAGTCACAGTGTTACAAGTCACAGTGTTACAAAGTTGAGGTGTCATTTTTCATGTCAGTTCCACCGCCACAATGGTCTTTAAGAGTTACGTGTTATGAAAAAAAAAAAAAAAAGAGCTGCGCCCTTGTTGTGTAAGGCACATGTTTACACATGTGATGGTACATTTTATTCATGATATGTGAGTAAAAATGACTGCCCCTGGAAATAAGCCTGGTATAACCCTTATAATAAATAAGCACAAGTACATAATGATTATTGCCCTATTTTTTTTTTAGTTCACTATGTACGCCAGTAAAGGGGGGGGGGGGGGGTAGTATCAACAATGTTTCATTCATTATTCATTTACAAAGTAGGTATGTCTGAAAGTAAAAGATCAATATTTACCCCCATTCCTTCCTCACTCTGAAGGAGCAGGATAACAAATTATTTTAGTCCTAGTGAGTTAATCATTAATCAAGTAGTGCTCAACTAGATGCCACTCTGCCCTCTTGTAGGTGATACATTTATAACATCACACTAAGGGCACATTCAGATTCACATATTATATACGAGTTGGGTTGGTCCAAATTTTACACTTTATAGTAAGTTACCCCCTAGTTACTTGAGGAGGCGTATCAGAAAATTAAGCTGATTCTACTGATTGCACTTTAGAATACCCTGCAGTTGTTGGATCAACAATGTGTGAATCTGAATGCGGTCTATGTTTTAGTTACTAGTGTATCACTGTGCCATTAGTGTATCCTTACGTGGTACACCAAGAGCCGCACATGTACAGTGTTTAGCTGTTTATTGTGAACACATGTGGTTCAACGCTGTGTTGTACAATTTAATTTTTTTCTTGAAAGATTTTTTTTTTTTAGAAAATGAATTAATCTGTACAGATAAATTATTTATATTTATTCCCATGGAAATGGGAGGAATTCTACAGATATTTTTTCACAAGAATACCTTCAAATCAAGACAGATAGTTAAATCTTAAAGGGTATACCTTGTACAAGTATATTACCACACACGTGTTAGGGTTAAAAGGTCTTTCGATATTTATCTTCATGCTAAAAAGGCAAAAGACAAAGCTTTTTCATAGCATGTCAATAATTAACCCCAATGTTAGCCACAACAACACTTTACTTGAACTCTGGCATACTTGCTGCACTTTGAATGGTCACAAGACTGTTTATTTCCGTTCAATGCATGTAAATTTAGAAATGATCATCTTGATGTGTGATGTTGAGGCATGTGGGAGTGATTTGATGTAAAGTAACTGGTGTAAGCAAGGATTGGTCATGTGCCAAAATACTGACACACAAATGTGATACGTTACTAAATATGTTATCTATCCCCCTTCTTCTTCTTCTTTCTCTCTGTCTCATATGCACAATTTTCTTTCCATTGGATTCCAACTCTTTTATTCCATTTCTGTTATTGAAAGATTTATTACACTGAAATTTTCAATTTACACATATATACATGTATTAAACTGATTCAAATTCCTCAGATCTCCAGATTTATTTGCAATAAAATTATATTTTCTCCTCTGTTTCTTACATTAAAAATTAAGGATATTATTTATTATGATCTATACTTCCTTTAAAAGATAAGTATTATACATTGTAGGTATCAGGAGCTTGGATGACAGTGATATTCCTACACCAAGACCTGCAGCTCGCAAAGACTTCAGGGTTCAGGCAGCTGAAAATAAACCAAAACTGGTGGAGTTTCAAGAATGTTTGGAGGAATACCATCCCAAGATTAAAGCCCTGCCTGACCAAGACCGTGAAAACAAATTCATGTCAGTGGCAAGAGAGCAGAAGGACCGTGTGACCCGTATTCGTAAAGCCAGACATGCGGCTGAGGTCATTCAGAGGGCATGGAAGCGATACAAGACAAGAAAAAGATGAGACTTTGATGAAGTAACATATTCAACTTTTCCCTTACATTTGAGCATGGACAAATTGACGTAATTTTGTCCATGATTTGAGTGACTTTCACAGTATCACACACCATTCAAACACAATAATGTATATGTAGGTGCTGCAGTCATAATTATCCAGTACACAGGATAAAGGAATGTCTGTCTCTAAAACAAATTTATCATGTCATCATGTCAAGCCAAACTGTGATTTTGTTAATCACCCATTTTTTCATGTATTCTTTTGTGAAAGTATCACCAATAGTTTCATTTTTTAAAAGTGTTAATGCAATTTAAAAAATGTTTCAAAAAAAACATATTGCAAATTTCATCTTGTTAAGAATTAATTTCATTTTAGTCTTAAGAGTTTTGCTTTTAAAACTGCTAATGTGCAAGTTAAAATGTCCTTTTTTTTTTTTTAGATTTTTGTAAGGATAAATATTTAACCAGGAAGTGCTTTTTACCATAATTCCTATGTCACATACTTGTATTGGTGTGAGCTCATGGACAAAGCTGAAGATAGTTTATAATAAAGGTATTCCATCAAGTCAGAATTTTGCCATTGTTTTATTTTTATCTTGAAATGGGGACTAACTACTATGCACACAGGCAGGGAATGTTCTGGCTGTTTCTCCCTATTTTTTGGTAAAATCTTTCAGTATACATCTCACCCTGTATAAATTGGTAAAATGCTGCACTAAGAAGCCTCATTTGCTTGTAGTATATATATATATAAGATCAATTGTGCATAGTGGTGGAGAAACTATATATTAGGTGGAACAAATAAAATGTTAGCATATAAATATGAATTTTCATATCTTTAAGTAAATCTGTGTTTATTTTGAAGGCAACTTAGGTCATTCAACAAAGTTCAGTTTACAACCAAATATCAAAGCCATAATCAAACTGCTAAATATTTGATATGCTAAGTGAGGGATTGGGAAGCGGGGAGGGGGTCTGATAAGTTACCTGAACACGGATAAGAAGAAAGTCATCAATGAAACAACTGTCCACAAGCAGGACAAAGTTAAGGATGTCCTCAAATAGGGTTGCTGAGTCATTTTGATTAATGCACTTAATCCCAGTGCATCTAGAATTTTGAACACCTATGACTGTTGGTCACTAAATAAAGATTTTTTTCATGGTTTATTTATAGCAAAACTGCACCCATGCTACACACAGATATTCTGTTAATCACGCACCCTGCACCCTCGGAACTAAATCAAATTCAAATTTTATTCCCTTAATTTAATGCTAGACATGCAGGGTGTTCGGTTCAGGTTACACAAAATTAAATGCAAAAATTTCAATTTCATCACCAATTGTTTTACACCTTCATTTTGAAATATCTCCATAGATTTCCATAGAGACAGCTGTCACTATTTGTGTTCTTTCATCCACGTCTTGGATTTAGGTGCAGCTTAATTACCCCAAGGTGTCAGCTTGACACCTTGCGTATCCTTAATTGAAACAAGGCANGACCTTAAAATTGACCTTTGACCTACTTTTCACCATGATCTGAACTTGGCAAATTTTGTTCCCTTTTATCTCCAAAACTAGCAGAGATAGGTCCATAGTTACTATTTAACTTGAATAGGAAGTCATATACTGGCAATCAAAATGTGACCTTGAAATTGAACTTTGACCTACTTTTCATCATGAATTGAACTTTGCAAATTTTTGTTCCTATTTATCTCCAAACCTGGCATAGATAGGTCCACAGTTACTATTGAACTTGGATAGGAAGTCATATACTGGCAATCTAAATGTGACCTTGAAATCTGACCTTTGACCTTCTATACACCATAAACTGAACTTGGCAACTTTTTAATGCTTTTATTTTCAAAACTGGCAGAGATACGCCCATAGTTACTATTGAATTTGAATAGAAAGTCATTAGAGGCAATTTACTGTGACCTTAAAATTGACCTTTGACCTACTTTTTACCATGAACTTAACTTTGCAAATTTTGGTTCCCTTTTATCTCCAAAACTTGCAAAGATATGCCCTTAGTCACTTTTGAATATGAATAGGAAGTCATATACTGGCAATCTACAGTAAGTTTGACCTTGAAATTGACCTTTTACCTACTTTTTATCATGAATTGAAGTTAACAAATTTTTATTCCCTTTTATCCCAAAACTGGCAGAGATAGGTCCATAGTTACTATTGAACTTGAATAGGAAGTCATATACTGGAAATTTACTGTGACCTTGAAATTGACCTTTGACCTAACTTATTATGAACTGAACCTTGATTGTGCCATTTTTAGTTATATATTCTTTTTGCATATTTTGAGAATTCTTGTTGATTGCATTTTTTACAGCTTGTCAAGCACAAGATTGGTGGTGGTGTCCCTTTTTTGTGTGTGGGGGGGTCTATATGATCGCGCTTACTCCAGCTGGTGGTACAATATTCGGAGGCGGTATCAACTCTCTCTGATCCTCTAGTTGCGTTAAGAGTAAAACAGTATAGGAAGGAAGAAGGCAAAGGAACGGTCACAATACACCGACCCAAAGAGGGATGGCATATCACAGATGTCGCAGTATAAACTGTATGGCAAAGCAAATCAATACTGCTTTTGAAAATATGTATTACTTGTTCATGTACGAGACAACATGTTCCTATATTTCTACTCATATAATCTACCTACCGTGTATAATTGTTGTGATTGAAACCATGGGCGACCGCAGAAAGTTTGCCGGGAAGGGGGGTGGGGGGTAAAAGTCATTGAGGGGGTGGGGATAATGATTGGCTGGGTACCCTCAATTAACGTGCCCGCCGAAATTCCAGGGGGAGGGGGGAGTGACCCCATTGACGCCCATGATTGAAACCTACGCTATATGAGGAATAACTATTCACAGGNGGGGGGGGGGGGGGGGGGGGGGACCCCATTGCCCCCCCCCCCCCCCCACACACACACACACACAGACGCCCACGATTGAAACCTAGGCTATATGAGGAATATCTATTCATGGAAAACTTTGACAAAGGAACATATGCCAGTGTCCGCACATAGTTAACTCATTTTTAATTGCAAACACACACATATCGGCTACGTACAAACACACGCACACATACACTCAAACAGAGAGAAGCAATACATGTAGGCCCCCTATACACCACCTATTTGGTTTTTAAAAACTTTTAGATACCTTTAAAACCTTATCTTTTCAGTTTCATATTTTAAAATATTCGTGTAATGTCCATCAAACAGTATTTTTTGTCGGACCCAAGAATTTGTCGGTGGAGGGGGAGAAAAGGGAGCACAAGGATAGAAAATTAGTCAGGCTTCAGATAGTTTTACTTATGGCAGTTTTACTATCAGGATAACATCACTATTTCGACTTGTTAAATGTTTGTTATACAAACATACATTTGGAGAGTGAGAAGGGTGCCAAGGGTATATCTCAGGGGATAACTAAGGGGAATATACGTGTCCTCTGTGCCCGTCCCTGGATCCAATGTTGTAGTCACATTCGGATCCAGTTAATAAAGAAATGTTCGTTTCATACCCTCCACACGACAGTCCTTGTTTCTGATACATGTATGCCCTTGGTGTGTTCATTTTTAGACAGATGACATGGTAAAACAGATTTTATCAATATCTTGTAATGATCAATGCGTCTTATTTCAGAGATATCGTTCATTGCTCTTCGTAAGAATATCCACGGTATAGCAGCTAGCCAGTATGGCTAATAAAAGGCTTCTCAAGGCTGCACGGAAAGGAGATATACAGAGTTTACAGGAACTGCTGACTGCCGGGGAGTGCGACGTCAATGTTCAGGACAAGGTAACAACGTTAATTACTCTGCCACTTGTCACATCGTCCAGCTATTTAGTATTACAATAACGATACACACTGAACTATTTACACTATTGTCGAAACGACCATTACAAATTCCGTGGACATTCTCTAAATAACTGCCTCACTCCTTAAGAACTCCACCGGCTTCATGATAATAATATGATAAAAGGAGCTGTGAACAACATTCTCATTTATAGAATGGACAAGATATCGATATACAGTACAGGAAAACATGACTTTTGGTAGCAAGAAACCCATATGTTTCTGTTCCTCGGTGTACATGCCACATTTAGAGATTATAAATTGTGCAGTTTATTCTTTGGTCTTGCATTGTTTCAGTTTTTATTTAATTTTTTGTTTACCCCTCAGCTAATAAAGGTTTGTACATATCTTCAATTGTTTGAGGCGAACTTTGCAACCTGTATTGTACATGTAGAGCAACAAAATGATAGGCCTATATACACTTAATTAATCAATTAGTAAGTTACAGGGCCGCTGGGCTGTTAACGAAATTCGCATTGCGAGACTACAGTTATGTAANGTTGACCTGTGGAATCCAATTTTGCAGACGTTAGCACATATGTCAATGGGTTGTTATCTGTTCTAACTGTAAAAGAATTTCCATACAGGTAATCAGAAAATTTTTCTGTGACGGCCCATTTTAACGCTAAAAATTCCAATCTGAGGGTCCAGGGTTCGAGTCCCTGTTCGGGCGCCAAAAATGTAACAGCTCTCAATATACTTTATTTACGAACCCGAGTGTACTCTGTGTGTGAACATGGCAGAAACAAGAAACGAATGTCTTTTAATAATTTACAAATAAATAAAATGAACTTAATGCAGAACTGAACAAACTTAGAAAAAATTAAATGAATAACATAATTGAACTAAAGATACTTACTAAATTTCTAAACTAAACAAGGATGAAAATAAATGATAAGCACTGAAATGATCAAACTAAACTTAGAGAAATACAAAATCTAAACACAAAGAAAATAAAAAGTAAACCAATCAAGTCTATCATACCTGTGTGTGAACATGGCAGAAACAAGAAACGAATGTGCCGCGTAACAAAGAGGGGCGTATTTTATATAGAAACGAAGACACACGGACACAAACGAAAAGGCACGAACACACTTCTCTACAACCACAATCATACATCATACATACATATGTTACATGATGTATAAATAATTACTATACATATGAAGGTTTGTTTCACATAGTAGAAAAAACGCACGTGCATAATTAATATCTAAATCTTAGTCATGTATACAATACTAGAAGTGTGATGCTAGCGTATGATCAGTGCTGTGAGCAGTTGACTCGGCATTAAGACCGCACCTAGCTTATGATTATGAAATACTGAATGTATAATAATGGTGCATTTCAACAATGTAACTTTGGTGATATTCAACTATGTATTTTATTATTATTATCATCATCATTATTATTGTTACTATTACTTTATCTCTGTACATTTTCACCAGCTCGGTTTGGTGCAGAAAGTATGAATAAA